TCAAGATCCCATTCAATTGACCGTAAGGCTTTCCGCAATTCGGTAGTAGTCCACTCTAATTCGTCACGTGAAATTGGGATTCCCCCACTCACGGTAGAACTTGTGACAACAACATCCTGCAATTCCGTCCAGCGCCCGTATAAACCGCGGTTCTTATTTAAGGCCTTACAAACCTCGCTATAAAACAAACGATAGATATTATTCGTATCATAAATGACAAGATTAACGAATAAAATAATTAAATACACTACATAAAGAAATTAGGTAAAATAATATATAATTGATCATATTAAAATTATCACTTTATTTTGTGTTTATTAATTTTGTACACGTACCAAAATATTAAAATACTAAATAATGATGATTCAAATATTTTTTAATAAAAATTTTAAGGAATGCGAAGAAATGTCTATTAATACATTTCATGGAATTTTACGATTTCTATAAACTTTTCTACACGATATGAACAAAGACAATTAATTTCATCTAAAACATCAATAAAAAAAACTGTTCAACGTTGCTTTTGATAAAAATAACGAGTCTTGAAAATATTCAGAGGGCAAAATAATATATAAAAATTAAGATTACAAGAGGGATAACGTGTATATTAGGATAAGAAATAACAGAATAAACGGTTTATCGTGAAATATTCCTCAGCAAAAATTGCAATAACTAGAAATCACCCAGAAACATCAAAATTCTTTGTAATTTAGCTTAGTGACTATTCTTAAAGGGTTGACGTATATATATATGTATATAACATCAATGTCACAAAAGGAACAACAAAAATTTGACAATTGCATGAACCTCACGGAACTGGTATCGATTTGTTATTGATAATTCTAAAAGTTAAAAAAAACAATTCATAACAATTTCGTGTAACAGGAGGTAATTTTTTTACTTACTCCTTGACGACAAAGAACGGATTCTCCAGCGTCATTCCTTCTTTTAATTTAAAGAGGTGGCCTTTCTCGCCGCCTCACGGCACCCACAGGAATACGTATGCGCGATTTGCCGATCATCGGTAGAAATTCCAAACGATCTTCACAGAACTACCGGATGAACGATGACAATACTCAAAATTGACACTTGCTCGCGCTTCACTGTTATGATACCACAACGTCGTCGTCTATTGTGACGTCTGCTTTCAGTCTTTCTGCAGACGACTATTTATTCGATTTTAACGTTCGTGCGCAAACACGCCTCTCTAGCAGCCACTGTAATATTGATTTCGTGATGAAATTCCTAAAGTGCAGTTCACAGTCACTTGATGTAAGACTGACTAATAATCGAATAACAATAAAATATGGATAATAAATATTAAAATTTAATGTTCTATTACATTATAAATGAAACTTTGTAATAATGTATGAGGCCTGTAATGTTTCTTATTGTTTTTTTAAAAACGTTTCATTATATGGCCATACTTGCTCATCTACATTCGCAGATTGAAATTTGCGCAGAATTATTTCGCGCCAATTTTTTGGAAACATTGTATCGTATAATGTAAATTTAACATTTGTTATTATATTCGAATCTAAGTTTATCTTAAATATGATATGAAAATTGTTATAATTTACCATTTGTAATAATAAATTATGCAAATTCTAGTTTTTAATTAATTGTATGAATAATAAGTTCAAAAAATTGTACGTACTGTATTTCTAAAGTAATTTAAATTAGTGAAACAAATAAAAACGGTCCTATTTAGTTAACAATATAAATAATTTTTTCTATATATTTATACACAAAACATGTCTAGATAAACGTGTAAATTTTATGTAAATTTTTGATCATCCTATGTAATTTATGTTTTTAAATGGTTGATTGCGTTGTTGACATCATTTCGCGGCAATCTTTTAAAACCGACAAGTGAAAGTTTGTATTTAAAATTTTGTGCATAAGTGAAAAGTGTTGTGTTAAAATTTTATTTCCTGAAGATATGCCATCGAAGAAAACAGCGTTTTGAGAAAACAAAAGTTGTGAGTGGGAAAATTTTATATTACATTTATATAAATTTCGATTTATTCATATTTATTCATAACCTCTTTTCTTTTAACTTGTATACATACATTGAAAGAATTTATATGTATTTAAGCATTTTCAACAACAATTTATTTTATTTATATATATTTTTACACTTTGTAAGCATAAAATTAGATTATTAATATATATTTGTGTTTTACTTTTACTGACATGAAACTTACTATCATACTATTTCACTAAATGTTAAAAAGTATAATGTTTACAAAACAGATATCAATATCAGTGGGTATTTTTTAAAGGTTATATTCGTAAACATTATTCTACTAAACATGAATGCATATATATTATGTATTATGTATTATGTATT